TCTTTAAGCTTTAGCTGAATATTGCTCTTTTGTACCAAGCTCTGTCAAATGAATTTTGGGTTTCCTGTTGAGAAAGGACATATTAATTGGGTCTTTAAGCTTTAGATGATCAAAAGGTATCAAATGTGCACAACTCACTAGACCCCTACATTTGTTTTTAGGTTCAATGGTAAATGGATGGGGTTCTGCGTCTGATGAGGACCGTAACTTTTCTAGTCATAGATCTAGTGTAGGTAGCTCCTCAGATGACTCGATCTTTACCAGCGGCAGTTTTGCACAAGCACTGGTTGCAGCAGCAGATAAAGCTGGTTTTAGGCTGGATGGAACCAGCCTGACAAGAACAGGTTTGTAGACTCAAAGTTGATGCTCTCTGCATGAAGGGTGTCTCTGCCTATTCTTCTCTTCTCTCAGCGAACCCGCGTCTCACACTTGTCTAACGTGCATGGAATAAAGTGGATGGAGATATTTTTATCGGTATATTTTCAATGAAACTTTGCATTGTGTTTCATTTCTGGTCTTTTGAAGTAGTGAATAGCACAAGCTTTTAATCTGCACCTTCGATCTGCCGCAGTTTCCCTCTGTACTGACTCCGCTGTGTATTTACTGACAAATGCTCCATTTAATATTTCAGTGAAGAAATCACTAATTCTGCCTTGCAGTTTTGATGATCTTATTTTCTGAAAAATCTCCTCACAATCATTCACATTTCCAGTGATGAAGATCATATTTAAACTATTATCTCCATCCCTGCTCTTCTGTTGCATTTCTTCTCTGAAAAGTGTATTTTTCTGTGAAGTTTTTCTAAGCATGGGGTGAATTGGTGTGCTTTTATTGTTAACAATGCAAACTGTTTAAAACTTTTATTAATAGGTGATTTAAAAATACTTGATTCAATAAGTTAATATATTTTGATAACATTTAATTTTAGTTATGCCAACTGAGTCTGCCAAGTAAAATGTAAAAAAGGTAAAGTGACTATTGCTTTTGAAAACAGCCAAACTTCTAAAATGAATTAATGAAAACTAAATATAATTTAGTTCATATTTTTAAAGCTTCATATGTCTTATTTCTATTTTAAAAAAAAGATAAGGAAAAACGATCTTTAAATATTCTGGGGAAAAAAAAAAAGAATGTATTGCATTTTCTTAGTCTTATAAAAAAAGCAAAAATTACTAATTATTTGAATCCACAAATCTAATAGCAAAGTATGAGCTTGGATCATATTTTTGTTATGCTTCCTCAGCCAATTCCTGCCCACAGGTCCCATAATGTTCCTATCATTTAAATTTTTTCACTATTAGTCTGGTGTGAAGTCTCTCCTCCAGTAATATGTGTGCACTTGTGAGAAATGTCTCACATGTTAGGCCTGAAAAATGTCACTCTTTCTGCATGCAATGACTTCATGTCAAATACCACCTTTTAAGGACATTAGGAATAACGAAAAGAGTTGATGGCAAAGTCCTGTGTCTCCAACAAACTAGAAGGTGAACGCATACGGCTTTTCCCAAACCACTGGGACTTTTGCCACTGACTTTGGTCATACACAGTCATCCTTAAAAGGTAGTTATTTCACTGTAGTTGAACCCCTCAGTAGCTTCTTACACTGTGGAAAACTGACTGAGTGAATCTGCCTCATCCTTTGATAAAAAACAAAGCAAGACAAAGCAAGAACCGATGTAGACCTTCACTCATCTGCTATGGGCACATATGGCCAAACTATAATTTAAAATACACTATTGGGCTTGAAGAGTCTTCTAAGTCTTAAAAGAAAGGAGCAAATCCTTCCCAAACTTTTTCTTTTTTTTTGTGGTGTTCTTGGTGTCAGTAAAAGTTAATGCAACGATTCACCCAAATTTAATGTCACTTCTATCAGGCCTCTGAGAAGTGCGGCTCCCACCACAAACACATGCATAAGAGAAGTAAATAGGCACACAGACACATAGAGATTTAAAAATAAATATGATTTCTTATTGTAGCAATGTGAATGAAAAATACAATGAAAGGCTGAAAGCCCTCTTGTCAGTTGTATTTTTCCAGCTTAATTAGGTCACGAATGCACTTAAACCGAGTGCACGTGTGTAATTCCTCAGACAGACTGTTAGAGTGTAGGGTACAAAAAAAGTATCTAGCAGTTGTGGTAGAGACTTTATGATTATTACCCTCTTACTCTCTTAATGATCCAGCAGGCAAAATGGAAATAAAATAAAACCCACATGTAAACAAACAGCCCTCCTCTCTTTTTCCTCACAGAAACCTCAGCAAATGGAAATAGCTCCCCGGTGCTCACTGCAGTTTCATTAGGAGATGATGCCTCCCGGGGTAGTGGGGATCAGTCAGACGTGCCTGGTACGGCCCAGCAGCCCCCACAGTGCAAAGTGGTGTCTAGCAGTGGAGAAGCAGCAGTGTTATTTCTGTTCATTGCTCTGGAGGGAGTCTGAAGGTCCTGACTCTTTACTCCTTTGCAGTCTGGACAGTTATTTTCACCCATGTAGAACAGCTGTGAAATGTTCTCACCGGTAGATACTAAAGGAGATGTCCAACTTGATGGCCTCACGTGGGAATGTTTGATTGCCAAGCATAAGAGGCGCTGGTAAATCCAGATGCAATGTGTCTCTCCTGCCAGGCACTTTGATTCCAGTTTCCAGAAGCCATCATGTGATTTGCCATGAAGTTCAGACAGATTTCCTTTTTAACATCCTTGGGAAATTGAATCAAGAATTAGTGGATTCATCCTTGTCTCCACTTACACACACTAAATCTGCTACAAAGTCTGACACTGCTCAACAGTTCTTACTGGAAGGGCTGCATGCAAATACAAGATGCTGTAATCAGTTATTAAGTGCATTGAAAAATGTGTTTTGGGAGTCTGCACATCATTTGTGTTTGCCCCATGTCTGATTTAGGTCAGTGCTATTTATTTTGCCTCTTTTTCATGAAGGGATAAAAGAGAAGGTTTGACATCTATTTCTTTTTAAAACCAACGTTCTGAATGAAAAATCACATTTCTTCAGTCAAAAGAATAAGTGTGAAAAATCTGCATCCTACACTCACTAGTTGCACTTGCATGTGAGTTTATTTTTACAAAACATCTGTGCAGTGTGCTGTGAGCTGAGATGGAATTTCAGGCTCACGTCTCAATTTCTTTGCTTTACTGATTTTTTTTTTATTTTTAAATGAAATTTTAATATTGTGTCTGTGTTCATCTGCTGTTTTATCCTTATCCATGAAAAAAAGGGCTTGATCACTTGTCTTTGTCTGGCTGCAGCTGTGCCAGCTATAGAGGTTAATGTTTCCAGACCCCCCCAAACGTTTGTTACTGCTTTTTTCCCAGCTCCAGAATTAGCTGCTCGGGTGGGCGTTCTGTAACCCACTTCAGTCAAAATGAGCCAGGTTAGCAAAGGCATTGATTTCAGACCATTTAAGTTCAACTGGGCTTTTTTTTTGGTAGAGAAGGGTTAGGGAATGTCCACTTGAGGGGTTCAAATGTGGTAACCTCCAACAGCTGGCAGAGCCACAGCTGGGAGACAAGCCTGCCTGGGAGCAGTGTCCCCCTCAGGGTGCACATCAGTCAGAAGGCAAGGCTGAGAGAGTCAGGAAATCTCTGAAGTCAAAGAGTGACATATTATTCTAACATGTATGTATTAATGTGAAACACCATGTTAGAGAGATTACAGCTACTTTTTCACTTTGCCCTCTTTGCACTGGAAATATTTCAAACAGTATGCTGAGCTGCATATTATTCCTGATTAAGCTTATCTAGATCAGGTCGTATGTGACAGCATGTTGGAAGTAAGAGCATCTGTTGAAAGGATTTACAGCAGGGTAGACCCAGGTCTAAGTTAACCAGAGGATAAAAAAACCTCCTTACTAGCTTGAGCTCAGTTGACCAGAAAAATACCAACAGCCATTTTGCCACTTTCCATCAACTCTTAACACCATTTGGGCCTACACCAGCATTTAAAGAGCAGAAAGTCTGACTGGCTTATACATTTTCCACTGCAGATAGGATTAAAACATGTAAGAATTTTAATTGCCAGTTTTAAACAAATTAAAATGTTAACATCCCCAAGATACTTGGCAAGAACAACCTACACATGAACAAAAGGAAGTAAAAGATGGTGATCTTTAGTTTTCATCAGTTGGCATTAAACATTAAGCCTAGTTAAGTTAACTGAATAAAAACATCAGAATAAGAGGAAGTGAATGTAGTAAATGAACTGCGCTGCTCCTACGGTTCCTGCATGAGGCTTTTAATCATCTGCTCCATAGAACAGCATCAAAGATATTTTTTGAGACATCATGTAGCTTGAATAGTTTGTCTGTATGTGTGTATATATATATATTTATATTTTTATATATATATATCTGAGGAATAAATTCAATGAGAATACATTTTTTTAACATATAAAAGTGCTGAAAATGAACAGGAAAATTTTAGCATTTCAACATACCCCCATTTTTATTTCTTGAGAAAAGAGCCCTTAAATATACAAACCTACCCTGCTACATAGCTTGCAAAATCAGTTATGTTTATCTCACTGGAGTTACTCCAGATATACAGTGCATATGGGAGCCTCTAAAATGAGAATCTGGCTCAGTAAACATGAAAGTGGAAGGCAGGAGGAGATAAATTTGATATGATTGCAGAACTGTTTTCCTTCCCTGCTCAAGGCTGAGAAGTTGTTATGACACATCTGTTCAGCACACAGAGCAGGCAGGAGTTAGATGGCATACAGTAGTTTTATCACAACAGATGGAATAATTTTAATTATAAAAGTTAAAGACAAAAGAATGCCCAGTTTATCACTTTGCTTGTTGTGGTGTGTCTTAAAGCAGTTGTCATCAGTGGGAACCTCGAGGGGACACTCGCTTGCCTCTGAGAATTAGGCCTGATTTAATGTTTCGGAACAGACATTAATAGAACAGCCTATTTCAAGGCAATAACATTTTTTCATCTGGTTTCTCTTTCTTTCTTTTTTTTTTTTTTTTTTTTTTTGTAGGCAAAGCATATTCTTCCTCTCAGAGACCTCGGCCGAGCAGTCCTTTTTCTACTGACAGCAACACCAGTGCAGCTGTCAATCAGGGTCAGAGGCCGAGGCCCACTAAAAAACACAAGGGAGGACGGTTGGACCAGCCCCCTTTGCCTCATCGTAGGGAGGGAATCACAGACGGTAAGTGTCGTGGAGAGGGCCCTGATGATAACCTGCAACAAGCAGCTGTGCAGAGCGGGAGAAGGCAGAGCAATCTTTTAAGAAATATGGGTTGTAGTGAATTACTAGTTTGGTGTAGCGGGGTCCCCAGGTTGCCTCGTGAGCAATATTGCAACGCTGGCAGTGTGGAGCTTGGTAAAGTGAGTCTTCAAGGAGCCTTTCTTCATTCTGGCTCTGAACACGTTAGCATCTCTTAGGAGATATCAGATCTCGATATAAATCTTACCCAAAAATGGCTGTGTTGCACAGGAGTTGACATTAAAAAATGGCCTGTGAGTAATTTTACATTAAGTGAAAGTAGCCACCACCAGTAGCAGTGTGCCATGAATTCCTAAGAAGCATAGAGCCACTCCCGCAGCACTGTTTGCTTTGTCCTGTTTTTGACAGACACTCAACAGCTACAACATGTGCCATGCTTTTCCCATGATTCTGCCTCATGTCTTGTCTGTGCTGCTTCAGTCCTGACATCCGCTGACCTCAGTGACTTTGTTTCCCTCTTTTACATCTCTGCTTCTCTCTGACCACTGCTTCCCATCTGGAAATTTCAGTCTCTTCTGAGATCTGCCCAAGATCAGCTCTGTCTTCCATTATCTTTGTCTACCACTCTTGAGTCTGGTAAAAGACACAATTGCTGCCTGCTACTTTTCGAGGAAGACTGCATAGGAAGGTGGCTGGCTGGCCACCTCCCCCTCATTTCTTCTTTTCCTGGCCTTGCAGCTGTAGGTGTTGAAATGATCAGAGGGGAGAAAGAGGCGGATGGAAAAACAGCATTAAGGAAACCACTAAGGATATCTGTAATGCCATGCGGGTGGAGATGTGATCACTTCCCTCATGCTGACCCCTCTTTCAGTGTTCAGAGCAGGACAGTTCTGAGAGGTAGACTGTCCCACATTCCTCAGAGGCTCTCATAACACTGTCTGGACCGTGGGAGTGAGTGTGATGCCAGTGAGTCTATCCCCCAATCTTAAGTACACCTTGACAAATCTTCCTGTGCACGGGAAATGTGGAAAAATAAAATTTAAAAATTACCTTAGATTTCAGTATAAGAAACCTTCTTATTCTGGTAAAAATTACTTGAGAATCATAGAATATCTCAAGTTGGAAGGAACCGATAAGGATCATAAAGTCCAACTCACTCCTTTATCTTCTTTGGACAGGTAATGTAATAAATAGATGTGATAGACAGTATATTTAGATTGAATTTTTTTTTATAATGCACTATTTATTACTCCAGGTACATGTATAAAATATATTAAAATCTTGCAAGGTAGACTGTGACCACCAAAACCACCAGAGCTATGTTCTCAGTCATGTTATCAGGTATAAAGATTCAATTTTGCAGTATCCTCTGGCAGAATCCATGTTTGCCAGAACAAAAAGAAGGAGAATAAATTCCAGAAGGGAAAGTCTTCACAAAAGGGGTTATTGTTACATCTCATGCTCTATGGCTAATTCTCAATGCCATATTATTTGTGGAAACAGTGTAAAGTAGCTTAGATTTTGCTCATATGGATCTGAATTGGTTTAAACATTAATACCCTGCCCTTCTGGATGTATTCCAGAGGCCTCTCTGCTACACAGATCCATTAAATATATGTTTCTGTGAGAACAGTAACTAGAAATCATGAGTGTCACTTGTGGTGCTGACCATACAGTATCTGTCCATGTGTTAATCCTTCTGTTTGGCATATTCTGTCACCTGGAACTGTGAGCAATTTGGGCTCCAAATTCTATATACGTGTGAGTTTGTAGTGTACTCAGTATGGTGGGACCTTAATTCTTCTTTTGAATACTATTGCTATGGAAATGTTTTACAATAATGTGGGTACTAGAAAAGTAATGGGAATCCAGTTCAGGTCATGGAACAAATGGAAGTGTGACTCCACAGTGTGACTCCACGGTGAAATTCGGCATTGTTTTAAATTAGTGAAAGAGATCAGATTTTAGGATTTATTTTAAAAGAGGAATCTCCTATTGTCTTTTATTTAATCTTTATACAATACTAATCTTACTGGAGTTTCTTTCATATATTTGAGTCAGAATACCAATTATATACTATTTCCCTCAACATTTCAGACACAGGCAGTAAACAGATTAATATTTGTCTGTTATAAACCTGGAAGTACTTACTATATGTTCCAAAAATTTATAATGTCCTTGAGCAATAGAGAAACCTTTCCCATTCTGTATTAACACAGGAACAAACAAACACAAATGGTACCGTTTTTCCACTTCAACTCCTACTGAATATGAGTCACTAAAGTGTAATGGCAAGTCTGAGTCATATCTAAATTTGCAAAAGATCATTTGAAATTAAGGAAGCTAAAGGTTGCTGCTGCCACCTGCATGTATGTAAACAATTGAATTTAGGAAACTCTGGTATACAGAAAAAGAGTGGTAACTAGATACTCTCTGTGGAATATTGCAATGAACTTTACAAAAAGAGACAATACCACTATGCTTAAGCTACAGCTAGAGAAAGCAAGCAGGAGAACCTCAGATAGGTCTAGCAATTCTAAACCCTAATCCAGGCCAGCCCCGGGCTGTCATGATTTCAGTGGGAAGCATCACTAAATGTTTTTTCCTGGTTTTCAGATGTCTGCAGTCCATTCCCTTGTAGCTGCTTCCTCTTGGATTTGTCATGTGAGAACATACTTGGTTTGTCAGTTGTTTTCAAATTCCCAAGTTAGATGAGTCCTAGTATCCTGTGTTTAAGTCTCATCACATCCCGGATATCTGTCATTTTAAATTTTCATTGACCAAGTAATCTCCAGCTATGTCCTTTCTCTGCCCAATCCCATATGCATCCTGAGCACTTCCACCGCGTTAACTGTAACCATGTGGGACAGTGCAAAAGACCTAAGAAGCTGTAATATTTAACACATAGCACACACATCTCAGACTGTGTAAGCATATGAGGGTTCAACTGCATGCTTACTTTTGACAGCAATCCACACAAATCCCCTAAAAGCCTGCTGCTTCATTTTCTTCAGCTGCAGGTCAGAATACTCTAGAGACTGACTCTAGATGGAGTCTTTATATTTGTCTTGCTGTACAACTTGTTTTTAAAATTCCACGTCCTGAAAGACCACGGATACAACAGCAAATCCGCAGAGGAAGAATATGTTATGAATCTAACAGATGATGAAAACTTTCATTCTGAGCTCACAGGCCACCATAAAACCAGGAGGTTTTTAGTTCTAGTGCTCAAGGAATAATTTGTTTTCCTGGAAACAATATACTCACAAATTGCAAAACAGTGGAATCTGTCAAATAGTTTGTGGCATGGTAACTGCATGACTAAATTTAAAAGCTCTTCCTTTTCTGAGCATGATATGTTAAAAAAAACCAGAAAAACAAAGAGGAGGCAGAAGGGAAATATGCTTAGGGGCTAAAAAGGAGAACTGGAACACAAGACTTCTCTTAGTTTTCCCATTGACTTCCTACTGTGTATTAAAAGTCAGTTTTTCCTAAGGTAAATCACTGTAGAGAAGATCCTTACCTTCTGATGTTAGAAAGTGGTTCAGAGGCTTATTAAATGTCACAGTAATTATCATCCCTAGGAAAAGAAATCACTGGCACAGGTAGAAAGGTTTGTCCTTATACTTGTAGGTTCTGTAACTTGCTGCTTTTTCCAGTTAATAATGAGAGGCTGTGACAAAGTTTGACTAGTACCTAAATCACTTAGCCAATGCCCTGCCTTCTAACGGAGGGCTGGAGTAATCCCAGGACGAATATCCATTTCCCCCCTATTAGGCACTCTGATGTCCTACAGCTTCTCAATCACAATCCCTCCATTACTAAATCAATAAGACAATCACCCCACCACCACCTCCAGAAATGCACTTATGAATTGCCTCACAGGTTTGATAATCCTGCCATTAAAGGCTTCAAACGATAGTCTGGATGACATCCCACTGGCCTAGAAAGTTACTAGCTCAGTGTGGGTTTTTAGGTATTTTATCTGGCACATGAAAGATAAATGTGATGTAGATGGAAGTAGAGTGACAGTCAGTGTTACCACTCTGGGTATCCTCACTGAAAATCCCACTGAAGTCCCTAAATTTCTAGATTCAAAACTACTCTGAAGTAATCGACATGATGGAAAGACTTGGATTGCCTCTGTGTGGTAATAAATCTGCCTGCCAGAGTCTGAGGCTACTAATTCTGCTGATATTCTGTTATCCCTTTACTAGGGGTTGGAGAGGAAAGGAAAGGGAAAGAGAAAGGGAAGACTACTCTCTATGGTACTGGAGAAAGAAACTCGTGACTCCAGATACACAAGATTTTTCTGTATCCCCAAGCAAGATAACAGAGCCCAAGCAAGAATATTTAGGAATTTACCTAAGGCAGAAGATTTGCACTGTGGGATGTGAATTGTAGAGCAAAGGAAAAGCCACATTTCCAAATGAAGCTCTCTTCCAGCTTTTATTAAAAAGGACAAGTAGCCTGACAGTCAGCCTGAGGAAGAAGGTGAAAAAGAAAATGGTTTAGTCAGGTGAAGCTTGGCTACAATTAGTAACTGTTCTTACAGATCTTCTCAGATGTGTAACACAGTTCAGTAAGTCTGTACTCAGGCTGGAGCCAGCTTATTTTAATTCTACAGTACCTGTAATTCTTCCAGAATTCTGTGAATCTTCATTAGAATGTGAATCCTATTTTTCACTTCAACTCATCCATAGGTCTAGAACAGCCAAAGAGCTTTATCAACATGATGTTTTATTTCACTTCTATGCATAAGTCAGTCTTTATGCTTATTTTCTGGATGGATAAAAGCAAGAATCAGGTTAACATTAGATCAGCAGCATAAGTCTACAGTAATTCCAGGAGTTGCAGCTAGCTCTAGAACATGCAGAACGGTTTAAGTACAAACCGTCTTTCCTTTTAAGTACCTAATTAATAACAACTATTAGATGGCAATTTCTGAAGAAGGGTACTCTGTTTAAAGTTTAATACTGCAATAATTTGAACTTTTTTTTTCTATGATACTACTTGAAAATTTTGTTTATATTGAACGGTAAATATTTTATCTGGGGAAATTGCATAGTCCTATGTCATGTTATGACTGTTTATTGGATTCAATGCATCCCCACAAAGTGCTTATAAATCACAACTTCAGTAATCTCTATTTCAGATTTCATAAGCAGATGCCAGTGTTGTGGTTCTGTACATTAACTGGTTATGCTTCCAATAAAATCAATTATAAGAAATGCCATTTTGGAAGCCAACACTATAAAGCAATTTCAACATTGGCAAGCTCCCATACCCCCCTGCTTCCACCTACAGTAACTCAAGTATAGTCATTGTCACGAAAGGTCACATCTATATTCATAACGAAAAATTTCTCAAATAAATTAGTGCTGAACATAAAGCATACACCAGGCTCACTGACACGTTATTATAAGGCTGCTCTTGCCAGAACATAGTTATCTTAATCGGGGTGTAGCACTTCAGCTCTGAGCAAAGGTACAGGAGCATCATCAGGGACAACTTCTTTCCCTTGTAAACACAAATTACCTGTACTTCCTCATTTATCTGTAAGAGACAATGTTGACTGGAATGTGATATCTCAGTGACTTTGGAAGCATATCTGCTTTGTATATGAGGTATAAGTATCACTTCTAACAGCAAGGACATGAAAAAAAATTCTGTGTAGCATTATATAAAGTATTATATAAAGCCAGATTACAGACTTTGAAATAAACTCCCTCCAAAGGCCTCCTGACCAATTTATAAAATGAATTTCAGTTTCACTAGAGTTATAAGCATCAGACTTCCCTGAAGGCAAAACAGGTTTCCTTCTCCATTCCTGTTACTGAACCAGGTTCAATTTCTTGATAAATCTTCACAACACTGTAAGATACAATAGACTAGAAAACAGGACAGACCTAAATCTGTTGTAGACTAACACAGTTTTAGTGAAGTTGATGGGATTTATTTGGGCTATGCGTTGCCCCAAAACAGAATTATCAAAAAATGTTCCACGTATAAAATGGATATCTGATAGAGAATAGTTTTCATTATGATACTAAAGGGCTTTTACTTCTTGTTTTCTTTTTCTTGAATAATCTGAGGCTTTTCTGGACTATTATAAGTCTATCGTGTAGTTTACATGAAAATCTTAGATTCAGAATTAAAATTATTCGGAGTCAGTAATTACCTTGGGACTAGAACTAATAAAAAATGTACTTTTGCTTCAACAAATGTGATTAGAAGGTTAATCTTCAATTCTAAGAGTATCTTAGTCATCCAAGTGATAAATTTGAAAAGAACAAGATTGTTAGAGACCAGTCAAGTGTCTTTTGGTGTTAGTTTAAATTGTATTTTGGTTGGTCATATTTGCAAGACACTAAACTGAAGAGTGGCCATCCCCTTGTCTGTGAACACTTTAGCTCTTCATTTACTTGAATAAAATGCTTACACATTGTATGGTGGTTCCATTTAAACACATTTTTCAGAGATATATTGATGGTTTTTCAATGACAGTAGGTTTTGTGAATATTTTTTTTCGCAATTTTTGTGGCATTTTATTCATTTTGATGATGTTCTATATTAGATTTTGAGTTTAGACATCAAGCTGAAAGTTAAGCCTGAAAATGGGGATGATGAAGCAAGTCTCAATATGTTGAGGGAAATTGTCAACAGGTCAGTTTTCCATTGCCTTTCTTAGTTGCTTCCTGTTGCTGAACAAAAACAGCACCCCCACAGAAAATAAATAAACCCCACAGAAAATAAATTCCATGCTTAGAAATGTAAGTCAGGGATGAGAGCCTGTCAATTTTTATGGAAGCTAGAAAGAGCTAGCAGCATAGTAATGTGGATAAAGAGCTAGCAGAATACAAACCCACTTTTCTGATTAACATGAAATTCCTTCCTTTTAAAAATCAACGAATGGAGCGATTCATGCCGGTTGCAGGGGACTTTTCTTTTTTCAGCATCAAATAGACCTTCTGTTTCAATGAAAAAAAAAAATTTAGTTCATCTAAATCTTATTCACGTTTTTTAGATCTTCCACCACCACCCGACCCGCCCCCTGGTCAGGGTTTAAGGCAGCCCATAGTCCCCGGCCAGCGCGGAGGCTCGGCAGAGAGGAAAGGAAGCTCTCTTGAGAGGCAGCATGCACCGAACGTAGATGAGACAAAGAGCTCCCTGGACCGGCAAGCTAGGACATCTCTAGAGTGGCAGCGGCAAACCCAGGAGTGGATAAGCTCTACAGACCGCCAAGAGGATTTCAGGAAAGCCCAACACAAACAAGCCTTCGGATCAGGTGTGTGTGCGCTGCACCGGCCGAGGCAAGGCAGGCGGCTTCTTGACACTCTGCTGAGAGTTTTCTGTACCTGGCAGGAGTCCAGGATCACCCCACACTGGTGAGGTTTAGGCTGGAAAACAAGAAAAGGCAAAGTGAAGGGAGAGCTTGTGATCCAACTATTTTCCCTCCTGCAGCCGTGAAATCTCGTTAACACTTGATTCGGTGCATTCTTTACAGTGTTTTGGCAATTAATATTGTTGTCAAGCATAGCAGTGGAGAAAACAGGAGTGGTTTCACGCCAGCACAGAGGGAGAAAGAGATTTTTAAAGTATCTTCTGGTAGATGTATTTACTTATAAATACAAGGCTGTATTTTCTAGTTCTTTGAACCTTCTTCCAAATTGGCAGCAGGTGTTTTTGCCTGTCCAAAAGAAGGCTGATTCTTCTGAGCTACTGACATTCCCTCCAGCTGTATTTAAAGCACCATCTTCTTCTTATGGAGATGACAAAGTAACGCTCATCTCCTAGGCCCAGCAAGATGACAGAGCAGGCTTTCACCTTCATACAGGACCTGCACATTGCCGTGGGCTGACTTTATCTCTTAAATGGATTTCAGGTCTGTAAAAATGTGCACAGGAGGTGATGCTGGGCTGGAGTTGTAGTTTTACGATATTTGCAGCTTCCTTCTCTCAACCTGACCTCAAGTAAAAGCTTCTCTTCCAGCTTTTACCCTCAAACTAGGGTATTTTCTTTAACCCACTAGTCACATGGCATACCAGTGCAGTGCTGATTAGAGTAATACAAGAGGACAATTAAGAAGATTTAAACAAAAAATTATACTGTATGTGGAGTTTTCTGAAGGGTTATGCTGTTTCTTCAAGTATATATATGACTCCCACTGTCACACTGCAGGTACTCTTATAATCCATATTTTTCTTGATTTTATTCTCCTATTAATGTTCCTTGTTAATCTAGGCCACTAGTATCACTGACACTCCAAAAAAAAATTAGTAATATGCAAGCAAATCTATCATGGGGGCAGGATTTACTGAATAAAGTACTCCTGGGAAATATTGCTACCAATATTTAAAATGTAACTATTTTAAATACAAGCATACTTTAAAATATAACCATAGTGATACTGTTAAAAACCTCTAATCTTTCAGCTGCATAAACAAGTGAGTGGTTGTGCATGTTGTGAAATCTTGAAGTCGCAGTTTAAAAATAATGTGTGAAATTCTTGCTGTTTGGTGAAATGGCAATTTTAATTGCAATGTACGAGATGTACAAACATGTAGAAAAAATAGCCTGAATATACTTTACACTTCTTATTTCTGTGTAAATAATTATTAAGGAAGCTTCTCTGACCTGCTTAGCAAGAACTCCCTTCTTTTTCCTCTGCTTCACAAGTGTACAAATAGAAGTTGTCAGTTATTCTGTGATGCAGAGCTTATACAGTAATAAAATTCCCATCCTACAGGACATGCATTTATCTGTCCATAAATAAAGAGAACTCGATCTTGCCACTTCCAGTGACCTACATAAGCATTGAATTTAGGACTGAAGTGATTACAGGTATCTTGTTCTTGTCAAATTCAGGATGATGAGAGCAAGTGCATATCCTTTACGCATAAAATAAAGATTCCTCTAGGAGATATTATGGATTTACCCTGGTGTGAGGAGTTCATAAAGTTTGTGCTCAGGGTGGGCCAGAGCTTTATATCTATCTGTCTGCCTTCTCTGGCACTACAGTTTCTTGCTCTGTATTCTTGTCTCTGTTAGATTTAAAAAAGGCTACTCTTGTGCATGATGCCTGTTCCTATTACTAAACTTGGGGGGGGGGTTAATCATATTAGTAATTGTGCTTCTTCTCTTTTCCTTTATTAATGGTATAGATCTCTGGAAATCTGTCCTGTCCCACTTTTCAATACATTTCCAAAAGGAGTTATTATTAGCTATCAGCTTCCAGAAAATAGCTAATTTGCAGCTTAGGGGGTTTCACTCAGATGTTACCAAGCTGTGAGTGAAATTTTGAAAGCAAGACCTTTAGTTTGAAGTTGAATAGAATAAAAATGCTCAAGTCTGGGAACCGTGTTTCCACTGGTTGCTTTCAGTATAAACAAGATCACTGGGTTCCTGCCAGTGGCTTCACTGTGGAAGCACAGTTACAGCACATCAAATATGACATTCTCATCTGTCCCTCTAAAGAGAGTTGTGCTAAATCAGGTTACAATAGTTTTGATAATATGAAAAGCCTTTTGGTTATTTTATGGGGCCTGGAAACATCGTTACACACGTTTATCTTGATTTCATGGGGGCTAGAATTACGTCTTCAAATTAAAGGCTCAGAAATTCAAAGAGAAAGGCATCGGCAAAGGCTCCCCATATTCTTTGCAAGTCTAGGGCGTGGGGCACTGTTTGGAGTGTTTAATGAATGTGAGCCCATTCTCAGGACTTGAGACAACTACCTTTCATGTGCTAGAATGTTGTGAAAAACTTAGCCTTTATTTTATGTCACAATTACTTATTTTATGGATTATATTTATTTCTGAGGGCACAATAGATAATTTAACACACCATATGCTCTATAATGATAATGGACTTTATATTTATTCATTCTCATTTTCTCTCAATATTTCATTGAACCCGAAGGAGGCCTTATCCAGAGTCCACAAACTAGAAAAACAAATCAATTGACCATATATGTCATCTTCCAACTCTTTTGCAATGCTAGTGACTTTTCTTTTCATCCTTTAAAAATGTATCCAGCTTTCTGCTAAACTGATTTATGCTGCTTGCTTTATTACTGCCTTAATGCAAGCCATTCCATATTTTAGCCAGCCTTTGGAAACCAGGTTTGCATCTGATTCTATTGTTGGGCTTTGATATATAAGGAACAAGTAACATAATTTAGGAGACTATGGCTGTTAAATGCCATTTTACTGTGTCTTTTGGGCATTTCTTTGTATTTCAGCAAGGACACCACACGGTCATAGCACAAAACATTGATAATGCCCTTATGTCCCCCAGCACAAATATTCTGGTCCCTTGGGCAGGGCCAGAGTGAGATACTTTGGCAGGGAAAGAATTCAGCTGCCTGCCTTTCTCTGCAACAGATTTACCTTGCAAACAGGCTCTGTTCAATAGCAGATCACATGGGGAATCCCCATGTCCTACTCACTTGTGGCAGCAGGCACAAAGAATGAAATCCTGGGTTTCTTCCACAAATTCATTCTCATTTAGCATTTCTCTTAAGTTAATTGTGCCTCTGCTGCAGCCTTTGCTAAGGCTTCAAGCTCGTGAATCAAAGCATTTTTATCTCCTCTTTCTTTCCAACCATCCCCACCTACTTTTCCATCTGTGTTCCTGCCCTCTGTCAAAGAAAAGTCCGTTTCTCCTCATCGGGTTATTTAAGAGTGAAGACAATGGGAAAAGCAAAATAAAGAAAATCCTTTTGGCCTAGATCCACTTGAAAAAAAAAAAAGTAAGATTCAGGCAGGAGATATCCCACCAGTTTCAGAAGGGGCAATTGCTGTATTTGAGGTTAAGGATATATACTTATATTCTTTCTTGAACCAAACTATATTTAGGAAGATCTCTTTCTTCAGCTTTTGAGATGGCGAAAAGAGATCATACACAGCAAAGAAATAAAACAGTGCTTCTATTTCAGTGCTAAATCAGTGCTGCTGTTTTGCTTCTTAGGTTGGGATTATTACAACAATATCTCCTGGAAACTCTAATCAGAAGTGATGTCTTATTTTACTTCATGCTGTATGAAGACATGCAGTCTTATGCTTTATTGCTATTAATCCTGCTCTTGCAAGCAGTTCATTATTACAGGTCTTCACCGAAAAAGAAGCCAAGTGAGCAAAAGTAAGCCTTTTGCTCATAATGGAACATGAAACAAGCTGCAGGATGATTTATTCAGCCCAAATATTACAACTGTTATGTGTATTATAATATTTTTCAATGTGATTCACCACTAGTTAAAAAAAATTGTTAGTGTACTTTGCATCGTTAGAAATTACTGAGTTGCTGGAAGCTAATTAAATTAGCTGATATTGTAGTTCTTTATCTAAACTGATTGAGGTAATGTTGCCATAATTTAAGCTAAAGAAAAGGAAAAAGCACATTCATGTGGGCTTGAAGCAAAAATCTAATCATAGCTGCATTGTTTTGGAAATTGCATGTGCATCTATTTTTATTGAAGTATCTATGATTCATGATTTATTACTTCATAATGAATCCAGACTTTTTATAATTAATACAAACTGACTTATGAGTTTACAAGGAAACAAGAATAATTCGTGCTGGCTTCTCCGTCCTTGGGACACAACTCTTAGTTGTGTATTTTCCTAGGTAAAATTGTCGTGCCATAAAAAGCAAGACAAAAGACAGATTCATGAGGGCAGGAATGAATATGATGTCCATAAATGAATAGCTTGTTTATTCCTATTTCTAGGAATTCGCTGGTATTTACTTTGTTTTGGTTTTGTTTTGCTTTTCTAGAAGAGGCACTCGTACCATATAGTAAACCCAACTTCCCATCCCCTGGTGGCCACAGCTCTTCAGGAACATCTTCTTCTAAAGGATCGACTGGACCTAGAAAAGGTGAAGTCTTGCGAGGAGGTCACCAACGCAATGCCAGTGACCTTCTCGATATAGGCTATGTGGGATCAAACAGTCAAGGACAGTTTACTGGTGAATTATGTAAGTTTATCTCTAGCTACAGTTAAAACTCTCAAATAGACAAAAAGAGAAAAATTACAGGTCTGCTGTGAAGAGAGTAGGAAGTTGTGTGTGATAATCAGGTTAAATTTTACCCAGATATTTCTACCATCTGAGGTGACAAATAAATTATGTTCTTCTGTTCTTTGGTTTGGACCAGTTCATGCCAATGTTATCTACACAGTGTGTCTTTCAGTGTGTAATGCTAGTGAAACACAGAGAAAACTGAAGAGAAATTCTAGTAATTAGGAATTTTCTTGGCAAAGTGTAACGTGCTTGTCTTGGAAATGCCATTGACTGTTTTTTCTCAGATTGAATGAAAAGGGTGCTGATTTTTTTTGGTCATGGTGATGCCTTCTCCTTAACTTCCTGTCACCTGATGAGCAGTATTCTCTTAGATGGAGGTCTTCTTTTCTTGATTGTGTGGCCCAGTTTTTTTGAGTTGCATATCTCAACTCTTTTCCTCAGCATCCCAGGACAGGGAAATTATTTCCCAAACTTTTTTCTATTATCAGTAGATGTCCGTTAAGCTTTGTGTTGATGCTGTGTATGTGATGGCTGTACCAGATACCCAAAGGTTTCACTCTGGTGTTTGAAGTAGAACATCAACATCCCAGCAAGCTCGGGCATACTGGTGTGTTTACTGATAAAAGGAGTTGGGGCTGTTGGCATGTCTGCATCCTATGGCTGCAGTCAAACACTCAGTACCTCCTGACAGTTATTGCCCAGTAGCTTGTAAGAGGGGATCCACAAACCCTGGAATGTGCAGTCTCAGATATGGTGTTGGTAAGTGCTGAATTTTAGCATCCATTGCTTTTTATCTTAGAAGCAATTAACTCTCTTCACACAACCTATTGAATATTCATCCTGTACTGCAGTAATATTGCCATAGGCTTTGTTTTGTGGGGGTTTTTTTCTCTTATTACAACCTCTTTCTCTTTTTGTTTCTCTCTATAGAGTAGTTGAGAAGACACATTGCAAGCTGCTCTCTGATGGACCATCAGGTCTGAACTCATGGAAGTGATGACACTAAACAGTGCAATGAACATTTTCTTTATTTATGTACTATTAAAAGAACTGTAAATGCAATGTAAAGACACACAGCCACACATATCCCACAGATTCTTTACTTGTGTTCTTCTCTTTAATACACCATCCACCTTAAACTATTCCTTGTCAGGAGTATATAAAAAAGAAAGAAAAAAAAAATCACCCTCCAGGATGAAAAGGATTTCCTTCTGTATATAATTTCTTTTGTTGCATTGCTATGCAAGCTCACCTTCTTTTTAGCTATGTTCATATTCATGTCTGTTTTTACTGGTCTGTTGTACTATATGTGAATTAATAGGCTGTGGTGCCATATATTAACTTTTAATTGTGTAACTTTTATGTTTAAAGTTTGCACTGCAATTTTATTTGGTGATAAGCACAAAACTCTACTCCTCATGACATGAAGAAAAAAAAGAGACTGAATGTGTGGAGAAGGTTTACGTCCTGTAAGCTACTTTGGATAACGCTGGATGTAAAGGAGTATGTTAGGTGGTTTTCCATTGGGGTGTAGAAATGAGAAAGTGACAGGCAAAACTAATGTCAGTGAAGACATTAGAGACAGATTTAAATCTTTTAAAAGCAAGCAACATAGTTGCTCTTCCTATTTAAGAAGGGGTCAAAAGTTGGAAGTGTGAGGTTAAAGGGCGAATATGAAAATTAAAGGTAGCATGAGATGGCCTAGACCCTTTCACTAGAATGATGCCCTTAGTATCTGTTTTTAGCCATCCCATGCCACTAAGTGAAGGGGAAGAAAAACAAACCTTGCTACAAACAAAAGAACTTAAGGTGTTTCACTAAAGCTGTTTTTATATTGCAGTTTTAAAGGAATTATTACCGTTAATTTCTCCAGCCCAAAATGTAAGACAGAGATTTTCCAGGAGAAAAAACCCAATATAAACGCAAGGAATACCCACCAAGAAGTTAAGAATGCAATTTATTGTTAAGACATATTCAGGCTGCTTCCAAAAAATTGAAATGTCAGAGTATCTTATTTCATCTTTCCAATACATGTACAGTAGAATAGAAGATAGAGCTGCACCACTGAAATTCATGACATTAATTGTTTTGATGCAGTCTACACAACCCTTTCTGTTCTGTTACTTGAAGTCTGCAAGAGTTGAAGTTGGATCCACTAAATTTGTAGTAAAGTGTTTAGTGTTTGGAAGGAAAGCAACAGTCAAACTATTTTCGACTTCCATTAAATATATTTCTGGCAATACACTACATCCAAAAGCTGGATACAAGCAAAGAAAATCTTTGACCTGTGTCTTAGTGAGTGGCTTCAAACCCTACTATGATGAGGAAATAACACATGTTTATACACTTTTTGAATAAACCAGACTCTGTAAGTGGACATTAATGACAGCATCCTGTCTCTTCATTAATTTTCATGACTTTGTCCAAATCTTCTGTACTTCTCAAATCTCAATGAGTAAATTGTCAAGCTTTTCTTAGAATATTATATGTGGATAGCCCACCCATTGCTTTGATGCTTAATTAAAATATTAAATCTTACAGCTTATTTCTGTTAGTTATCTGATCATGAACATAAGTTTCCATTGAATACCTTTTTCATATAACCAGTCTATGTTGTTTTATATATTGCCTTGGAGCTCACCAGTATTAAGAACACTTTTAGTAATGGCAGAATTTTAGAAAAGTAAATTACAATGCTGAATATGTGTTGCTTTTCATTTCATTAACTTGTTCCATGATAAGATAAAACACTACAGCCATCAACTATAACTCAGCACTACTGAGTATTTAAAAAAAGTTAGTTAACTTCCTTAAGTCAAGATGTGTTATTTAGCAGGTTACAAACAAAAAAACTTGAGAAAAAAAAGTATGAATTTATTTATATATGTGACCAATGAGTATATGTCATTTTCCTGCATGTTAAAACACTACAGTTAAAAACAGTGCTTAAAAATGTTCAAGTAAGATAAAGAATGCATCATAATTACATATATTTGGTTTTATTTTGATATTATCATATAAAGAGATGACTATTCAGAGTACAATTCAAATTTAATTCTCTGGAAAATGTTTAACTCAGTCACGGATTGATTTTTTTCCTTTTAATTCAAAAGCTTGTGCTGAGCTTTGGTGGAACACCTTACTAACTATATTCTATTCAAAATTCAGTATCATTAGAGGTTGATAAAGCCATCCCAATTACTTTCGAATATGTGTTTTATCTCTTCCACTGGAAAGTAAATGTGTGTCAGTATTAAAGCTGTGCAGTACCATGATATTCACTAACTTGTCCATCTGCTTCTGTACATTTTTGTTCATTAATAATTTGCTTACAATATTACATAAGGTGTTGTTGTGTATGGCAAAGTGTCTCCATTATCTTACAGGTGATGTCTCTTCTTTTTTTTTCTCTCTCTCTTTTCTATACAGTGTACTTCCAATGAACCACAGTACATATTTTTTAAAATGCCATTTAATTTACTATTTTAAAAGAAGTATTCTTCTTTTTTAAAAAAAAATGAAAACATTTATTGTGAATAATGTGTTTAAAGAAAAGGGTTGTTGTGGCAGCACTTAGAATTGTTTTTTAATTTGTTTTTTTTAAAAAAAACCTGTTTATTGGCTACAGTTTGTTCACGAAAAAGTATGACCTCTTAATGTGTTTCATTGGTATTGTTAGTGCAGCAAAGTTTAATTGGCATAAGAAGTTGGTTATTAGTACTGTTGAAGTGTGTATTGTATATTTACTGGGGAAAAAATAAAACATATTCACATTTCAAATCTATGTTAAAAGACCTTGAGTAAGGAGTCAATATGTGAAAAGGCAAACTGGGAAAATCAGGCAATAATAACATAGACTGAGCTATAATCATCACTGTCCACTTACAGGTGACGAGGAACGTTTTATGTGCTGGTTTTTGAACTAAGCTAAGAGTGTTATAAATAGGCCAGTGGTAAACATTGCCTGTCATAGGGGTTTCTGTTTAATGTCCTGTCTATACTGGGAATAGCTGGACCAGGGTAATTACACTGCTCCAGCTATTCTAGCAAACATCCTCCGTTTGTACACGTGCGCTCTCGATGTCCAGCCAGGACCCAAGTGCTCAGCTTGCTTTGCTTAAGGCCCATAAAGCAGTGGATGTGTAAAACCTGCATTCCCTGGGCCTGAACCCTTGGAATTGGGGTTTTGTACTGGTGGAGCTTCTGCCAACCCAGTACAGAACATTCCCAAATGGCAAAGAGATGCCAGGTCAATTTTTTCTCAGTCTTTGCTGAAGGACCAAATAGTAAATGGTTACATGTGCTTCAGTGGTGTATTGCTGTATAGGCAGCCATTTCAGTGATGCAAAAAACAGACATTTCTTGGTTTTGTTATTTTTTTTAATTATTTCTTAAGTCCTTTTCAAGTCAGTAAACCTTTTGAATACCTTTTGGTTGTCACCTGAAATGCAACAGAAACACCGTTCCTTGGGAAAAGTACAGAAACATAAGGTGCATGGAATGTTTTAAGTGTATTAATTTAACTATACACCAGTGCAAAAGCAAGATATGACTGTTTGAAATAACTATATGCTGGTTTATGCTTGCCTCAGTCCATACCTTGCCAGCCAGGAGAAAAGGTGTGTACTAGGGCTGAGAAAGAGCCCTCACAACTGACAGAGGAAAGGTAATAGGGCTGGGGGAGATTTTGGCAGGAACTTTTTTTAAAAACAAAATTACTGGCAGCTCCTTTGACTTATCTTCAATATATGCAGTTTGGGTTTTTTATGATTAATGGCCTTGTGAAGATTTAGCAGGGGAAGTAGGAAGAAAAATACTGGCCTTCTTTTGTAAAGATATCGGGGAAACTTGTTTGCCGAGGGGAGGATTTTTTAATTTCATTTTTGTTTTTTTACACATGTTTTGTGTTCCCTCTCCCTGGAACACATTAGCTAAAAAAATAAATTATTTTTGAAAACCATGTGGGAAACAGACATTTTATTTAGGAGGTACATTCAAATAGCAGGAAAATGGCAGAAAGTACTACTAAAATAGGGAACACATACACTGGCTTAGAATCAGCCGAGTCCACCACAGTTTCACATGTAATTTTGAATGGTACAGTAATATGCATAACCTTCATTGCTTCTGGTTTCCAAACCAAAACAAATTATCCAAAGTCCATAGAGGCCTAGATCCTTGGGACACTAATTCTAGAACTTTGTTTGAAATATGTGGTTAATCCAAGCACGATGGGTTTCAGTAGACCCCAGGCACCCCGTGTGTAGAGGCAGGTCACTTCCCTGAGGATGGAGATTTTCAGGGCAGGGAAGGTCTTTGATGAGTTAGGCACTGTGGTGGTTTGCACAGGGACCATTTCGTCAGGCCATGTCTCACATTTTGGGACATCCTCCCCAGTCCTGCCATGGTCTCAGTGCTGAGCAGTGGAACACAGCAGAGCAGTGCTACCAAACTCTGCTGTATGTAGCATGTTCCCTGCTTCTCTTTAGGACTGACCTTTGCCTGACAATGCTCCTCACACAAAATAACAGATACGACTCGGAGATTTGTCGTGGGACCCAGAGGAGAAGTAGGGCCATGCCTGTGTGTTGTGAAGGTGGACTGGTTATCTGGGGAGAGCCAGCTCTGGGTTCTACTCTTGATGTGAGGATTAGATTCCTCTCTAGCCTGAGTTTGTCTAACTGTTTAGCTACATCCAGGAAGACCACAGCAGCAAACAAGTTCCTAGAGCACAGCTCAGAGTTGCAGCATCTCTTCTGGCATTCAGTCTGTTGTAGACAATCCTGAGTTGGGTGCCAGCTTCTCGCCACATCCTGAGGACTCAAATGGCTTACAGTGACATTTAGGCAAGTGAGGTTGTTCCTCTCGCTGTGCAGAATGGGAAAAAAAACCCAAACAAACAAAACAAACAAACAAACAAAAGCAAAACTAAACCTTTCACTTAAACAGATCTTTTAAAACAATCCTCAAAAATCCTAGAAAACAGAGCATTTCAGATGTACTCTTGATGATTTTTTTTTCTTTTTCTTGGCATTTTGTTTTTGCTACCATTGAAATGATCTATTTGGTTTTTTTCAGACCTGCTACACTCTCCCTCCACCCCTTTACCCCCTGCATTTTCCAGTACTTATCTCTCAGGTGTAAAGAAGTTATGGTAGAGAATAATTGCATTTGTGTACTTTCGTTGTTCTAACTTTAAACAACAAGGTGCACAGTTGCATTCAGCTCAATTGATCAAAGCCAGATGGGGATGAAATGTTTGTAGTTGTTGTTTTTGGTTTTTTTTTTCTAAAAAGGCCTGCTACTATTTGTGCTGATATTTGTTCCCCATTTATGCTGATCAGTGCATCTTTTGCCTTCGAGGATGCCATTAGTAATTCTCCTTTGTGTTCATAAGCAGGAATCCATTGTGCAGCACTTGGAGAGCCACTCGGATGCAGGTAAAGAATATAACAGCTTGAGCAAGTGCTAATTAGAACCAATTAAAGTTAATTGACCTCCTTTGGCAGTAAAATGCATAATAGAACTTGCTCTGTCCTTGCAAAATGGAGATCTCGCCTCTAAGCATAAGAGTGAAGCAGGGTTTCATGTAGCAGCCTGTAGTAATTATGTGGGTATAACAACCAGGAAGCGGCTTGCTACAATTTGTTCTAATAACTGGTCTCTACTGTATCAGGGCAGTGCAATAAAAGTGAGATTTCTGCTTCAGTCTATTTAAAAACCTAATTTTTACAGAGCAAATGAGCGTCCCAAGATACCGATACTAATCTCTAGGAATGAGTTGGCAGAAAAAATAAGAGTCCCTTTTATAGGTAAGTAATGGTGTGAGCATAAAAAAGAAGGCAGTTTTTTTGCCTGCCAGCTGGAAATGTCTCTGATGCTCAGAGGTTGCGTCTGTCCTGAGTAGTGGGGGTAAGCTCTGGTGGGCCTGCAGTGGTGCCTTGCAATGAGGTTGCCTCCTGCAGGCTTCTGTTCAAAAAGGGGCACTGGCATCCATCCAGCTGAGCTTTGTGCTGCTGTGGGGCTGTACCACTACCGTGGGCACTGGTTTGGACACAGTCAGAGGTATCCAAATAAAAGAGAGAGAAAGAGCAGGGGAAAAGAATGAATGGTAGGAAATGTAAAATTGTGTGAATTCAAAAGCATCAGTGGCGGGTGCTAAACTGTACATCGCTGTGAAAAGTTGAAAAGCCATTCTTATTAGCAAAAGAGAATTGATCCAGTTTCCATGACCATGCTTTGCTGACTTTTTCCTTGGCAGGAACTGAATGCGACTGATTTTGCTGCTAACTTGGCCTTACTATGAACAGCAATAAAGGTGTTAGTCAGGTGGGGACTTTGATGTGACCAATAACATCACTCTCCCTTCAGGGAATGTTCTGTGCTGGCTTGTTAATAAATTTCTTTCCTAATGAGTATCATTAAAAACCCTTTGATTAGCTATTTGTGTGAATGCCCTTCCTTTTTTCCTCTAAGCTTCTACTTGCACAAGTGGCAGCAGGATTTCGCCCTAGGCAAAAAGCGTGCAGCTCTCCTCCTTACCTCCTGAACACAAGTCTGAGGCAAAAAACAATAGGAAAGAGGGTAAAAAAAAAAATAAATGAAAGAGACCTCACGGATGAGTTGAAGTTATTTTTTACACGTGTACAACCTAAGCAGGTACCAGCATTCAGATGAGAATGTCATTAGGGGAAATGAAGAGCAATAGGTAGTGATGGTGAAGCATGCAACAATAATTTACATACACCTCGAGTGCCAACAGGCAGAGAAACAAATAAAGCTATAACCCAGGGAAAGGGAATGCCAGAGAATAAATGGACCGCAACAAGCAAACAAAAAATGCCATGTCATAAAATGGAGCAAAAAGCCTGGAAAACAAAATTAAAAACAAAACAAGGCATTTCAGATCCCGGGTCCCTTAATGAGATATTGATGGCATAGAAATTGCCTACTCCTATGCAAGACAAAAGAAAACTGAGAAACACAAAAACAATTAGGAAACAGATTTGGCTATCTGAGGTTTAATAGAAAGAGATGTGGCATAGCACAGTACAATTAATCACCAATTGCCTGAAACACTTTCTTCTCCCAAGCTACTGCAGACCTGTCTCCCCTGCTTCCAATCTTAAAATGACAGGCACCCAATCCAGTTTGTATTTAAAATAAACCTTTCTCTCCCATTCCTTCCCCTGTCCCCCAAATCTCCCAGTGATTTGCAGATACTGATAAATCAATCTTTTGTATTTACTCTGGTGTCACAGGCTTCAAACTTAGCTTCAGCCTACCCACCCCCTTCTTCCTTCTCTTTTCCCATCAGGCATAAGCTTCATCTACATATTTCTACCTTGTTGTTAGGCATATAATGAGGCTTTTCTATTTCTGTCCTTCTTTGCCCAGAAAGCTGTCTTAGGCATGTCACACTTAGGGATTTATAAAAGTTCACTTTATATTTGATCTATTCGAAATACGAGTTTTAAGTTTAAACTAGGTCATTGGGTGCCTTTAGAGCATTTGTAACTGAGGGAGAGCCATTGATGAGTCTTGATTTGAGTGGTTCAGCCCTGTGTGCAGAGCGTGAGAAACTCGGGGGGGGGGAATGATCACAGTTGCAGAAAGATTCGGCCGTGTGTCGCACCCCGTGTCTGCTGTGCGACACGTGGTTCCCTGCATCAGTGCTCAGGTATTACTGGCAGCACAGAAGTGCACCTTAAGACATCCAAAGCTGTGACAACCTGCAAGTAAAATCTCGGGTCTGGTGAAATCTGTGGTCAAATTTTAGTCTTTTCTTTAATCAAGATGAAGTATTAGTTCCCAGGGCAATCTTTGTAGTGTATTAGAAGAGTTCTGCCCATCAGAGGATTGCCTTTCTGTTCTGTGTACCTTGCAGCCCTGGGACATGCAAACATATTCTGATTTTCTCTACGTGAACTTCAGAGTACATAAAAACATGTTTCCAAACATGGGGCTTTGAATTCCCTTCTAACACAGTCCATATGTTCTTTTTGATCTTTTGGGGGTTACCCAAATCCCAAGTGTTTTCACAAGCACTTATCACTAGCTAAGAATATTCAAAGAACAATCCTTTGCATATTTTCATATTCTTTGCAGTCTCCTCCAGGCCCATGAAAGAGAACATATACCAATTTCGACTTTCAATTGCTGATGTGTTACACTTTTGATTTCATTGAGGGATTTAGGAGGCATGATTTTCATAGAAACTAATGTCAATTAGATAATTGGAAACTAACAGTAAAAGTACTGGACCTCTGAGATCTGGTAAGCAGCCTTGTAATCTATCTGAGGGTAAAACCTTTTAGTACTTGTAGAACTACTTTTTCTTTAATTAATTGGTTCATAGAATTACAGCATTTTGTAATATTCCTGGTAAGTTGTCTGGGTGAAGAAATTTCACTTTGAAACTGAGTTGCTCTAATCAGGAATTCTTGCTCGGACCAATAGATGGACTTTTGTGGGGCAAGCAAATCTTACATGCCTTTGTAGCAGTAGCAGCACTCTTGGGAAAAAAAAAAAGAAAAAGTTAGCAGAAGCCAGGTAAACTCAGCATCCTTTAGTGAATACTTGGGGTTTCCTTGATTTTGGTTTCTGTGTGGCGTAAGCCAGGAAGTGTCTGGTTTGGCACAGGGGTCTTTGTACCTGCCTGGCACCTCTTGCCTCACCAGTCACACTCAGAGCTGGAGCAACCATGGGAGTGGAAGGCAAGCAGAAGCAAAGCAAAGTGATGAGAGAATATGAGGACATGCAGTATTTCAACAACAGTTTTCAGGACAAAAAAAAAATTCTTTGTTTTTCCCAACAGTTCTTCGCACATTATGTTTCTGGTACACAGAAATACTCCTTTCGCCCACAGGCCATTTTTTTTTCTTTAGATTTGGATAAATTTAAATATTTTCTCAGAAAAGAAAATTTGAGAGACAAACCTGATGCTAACTGCCAGAACAATGTGGGACTGTTTTCAGTGCAGGCCTCTGACTATCAATATTAGGATGTCAGTGAATTGATTATCATTTGTGAACTGTTCCTAGTGCTGACAATAATAATGACAGAATGCTCTTAATTGGTCCCAGGAAACAAAAAGGAGACACAAAATTCTCCATTTTTTTTTCTTTATATGGTGAATAGCTGGGTTTTTTTTCTCTAGCACTCAATATTTTCATTGTAGTCTTAAGGGTGTTTTGAAGCGTCTTATGTTGTTCACTTTCTGAAATCCGTTTATTAAACTGAATGTTGTTGAGCATGAGGCTGACATTTGGTGATTCTCATGCAGTTTCTAATAGCTGCAGGGTGCTCATTTTTGGAAGCAGTTTTATGACGCTACAAAATGTCTCCTCTGCTTTTGCTGGCACGTATCGTAACCGTAAAGCTGAAGCGGAGCTGTCAGGACAGCATGTCTCTATTTAGCAGACCATTGTTTGTCATCGAACAGATATTCTTGGAGTTTTTTCAGATATGGCATTGTTGCCAATGGTTAAAATTTCAAAGCTTCATAAATGACTGCGCACAGGAAGATGAATCCAGCTGGCAAACTTTATACATTTACGATTTTTGTAAAAGTCGGCAACAGGGGAGCCAATAATTTTCGCTCTCTGATGAAGTCTTCATTATGGAGCATCTGAAACCTTGTTATAATGTGGATGACTTTGACATTATATCTGCAGTTATGTGCTTGCACTTCTAATAGCTCTCATACAATGAGAACTGAGCACACAAAGAGCATCTGAAAATAGAGTAACTAAATTTTCCTCTGCATTCATACAGTGTACAGGTTTAGGAAGGTTCTCTCATGTTATTTACAATGGCTTCCTCAGATTCTTCTGATTTTAATGCCGTGGTATATAAAACCTGGCAAATGTCAGCACTTGTAACTATCAACTTCCAATAAATACAATCTACAGGGATGTGAGTCTTGTAGGACACGAAAAAGAGTAGGTCACTCCATAATGAGCAGCTGCAAAGGGAGAACAAGTTAGCTCAAGACACTTTCTGTGTTTGTCAGATTTAATTTGAGGTTTTGTCTCTGCACAGATTTCAGAGACACTTGTCACAGGTGGTCGAGACATGCAAAGAACAGCTACAATGGATAATAAGGCTGCTGTGCTATAATGGTATCATAACACCTGAAGCAGCCAATGGTAGCTGTTGTTTCATCATTCTTAAACATTGATTTTATTATTCTGAAATGAAATTATTACAACTCTGACCTGCTAGTGGATTCTGTGATATCAAGAAAATGTTAATAATGGTGGGGGGGTTGTCTCTGTTCCTCTTTTTTTTTTTTTTTCTTCTACTGCCCTGCAATAGTGTCAGGTTCATCTTACTTGAGATGTAGCCAATTATCAGCATAATCCTGCTAATAAAGCTCCTGGATAGCTGTCCTGGAAAAAGAAACCAACAACAAAAACAACTGGCCAATGCTGCTAAAAGAAGCTGTATTTCCTGTTTCTCTTTATAGAACTTTTGTCAATTTTCATGTCTCTCCATAAAGGAATTTCTAATTCAGAAAAATAAATCAAGTTTTCCTTCAGGGAAACAGCTTGATCCAGGCATTAATTCACTTCCAGATGGGATCTGATCTTTATCTTTTCATGCACATTAAGCAGCACCTTACCTAGAGCAGTCCCAAACAATAAGTGGTGGAGTTTAGTCAGGGTGCAATGTCTATCCCATGCTGCTCATGTAAGCCACTCGAACCTTCCTTATTAATGTAATTCATTTTTAACACCACTGTTCTTAAATTTCTTATGCTCTACCATCTGGACTCTAACATTTATAATGTATCTTTATTTTATTATGACCTTTGAAGTTCTTAATCTTCTTACCCTTGGTTTTCCTTCATATTTTTTTTTGTTAAAGATATGATTTTGTTCTTTGATCCCTTCTGCAGACTGTACATGATTTCTATGCTGTTTGGATAAGGAAAATCAGAGCCTAATGTTCATCCAGATCAGAATAATTTACAGGTACACTTATGTACTTGTTAAGATAGCCTTTTTAGCCACTTTTTTTGCCACTTTTACAGGTGTATTGGGTACGTGTTCAGAGGTTTCTTCCTTTGATAACAAGTGTGATGTGAAAAAAACTGGCCAAATAAAATTCTGACTTTGAGAATTTTCGCCTCTCCTAGACAAGCCTAGCTCCCTCTGTGATATGTTATATTTACTACGGTGCAATGCAGCTTTTAACAGCTTTTTAATATTTTCTCTTCCAAATTTTCCCTTCAGCTACAAAAGTTGTACTTGGAAATTCAATAAACAACTTCAGTCTCTCCAAGCATTCATCCATGTAGCCAGTTAGGGATTTGGAATGACTTGAGCTCAACACAGCTGGTTAGAGAGAGGCAGAACATGGCCAGCATCCTCACTCGGCTATGGTCATAAATCATCATACAACCTGGCACTGACAAATTGATCTTGGCCTAGAGCATC